GCAATGTTGAAAATAAACTTTATTTTTTCTATGTATCGTACCGTGAAATGGAATGGTCAAGAGGGAAACACAAGAGAGGGTCCACAAAATTGCTTCCAAAACCCCTTCCCGGCACCCTTCTGCACCAGTTCTAATCCTTCTTGACGGATTGAGATCAAGATGGTCAATGTTTCGGAATCAGAAACCTCTAGTTTATAAATTACTCCAGCCGGCAGATAACTAGTTTCGAGAACTTTGAGGATGAAGCAATGTGAGCGTTCGGAAGGAGATGAAAGAAACGCTTTTGAACGAGCTTCGGAGCATAAGTTAAGCCACAAGGAGATTTGTGGGAGCCCAATTTAGATCACTGCGGCTCAATGAATTCAGCAGGATTTATCCCCTTTGGCCGAGGTAGTACCTGCACTGGCATGAAAGCGTGTTCGCGCATTCTCATGCTGCATCCCCCTGAATCGGAGATTTCCGAGAATGGTTTACTGTGATCGTACTCTAAGTGGAAAAATCCGAATGACGTCACCAGCACTTTGCTAGCTCCAAGCGCAACGTGCCATTCAAATGCAGCTTGAAAAAGAAAAAAGGAAAAGAAGTAGATATGAGGAAACAAATGCGGGCGTACTTCAGGCTATCCATTTTGTGTTTTGTTGGCATTGGGCACTGAGTGCTTTTTGTTCGCGCCTTGTTCCTGTTCTGCGTTCGGTCGCTTCCCTCCAGGTTGGCAATCGGTTCACTTTTACCCTGGAGTATGACGATCCCTAGTCACGTGGACTGGATAGGAGAACTTTTTCTTCTAAGGTTTAAAAAATGTATTTGAGATCCTGAGTACAAGAGAGTCAGGGATATAATAAGATAAAGTAGCAAATATGCAGTTGCAGGGTACCAAAATACTACCAAAACAATTTGAAATACAGTATCCTGAGTAGAGTGTTTAAGATAGGCACCAGTCTGATTCATTAAAACATGCATAATAAAATAGAGGGTTTTTACACTTGCGATACTTTTATGGCCATTTGCATAAATAGCGCAGTGCGCCCTCTAATTCTCTAAACCACGCACCTTTTTGTTTTGAAAGGTAAACTATGTATGCATTCTATAGTTGCAACATTGCGGATACATAGAATATAGAACATAGAACATAGACCATAAAACATAACACATAATACATAGAACATAGAACATAGCTTTATTTTCACAAGTAATAATGCCCAAAGTACAAGATCGAGCCGGTATAAGCCTCAAGGGCTTGTATACCTAGCTCGGCAGGTGGCAAAGTCGCCGTATAACCCGATTGGGTATGTCTATTTACCCTCAAGAATACAATTCATACAGACTCAAGAACTTTGACAAAAGACACATTCAAAAAGAAAATAAACAGTAATACATTTGATGCATGATGACACTGTGAAGGCTGAGAATGCCATATCATTGCTCCAAGTTTCGTAGTGCTTTTTTTTAAGTTTCTTTTTAGATGTTATAGCAAGCAATGATTCTGGTAGGTTTTTGAAAACGTGCGGTACAAAGTACAGTCAGATACGCTCACCACATCTTCTTATGATTCGTGGTACATCAAAACGAAGTGACGGTCTCATTCGTCGCGGCTGTAGATATGGTGTTTTAAACATAGAGTTCCAAAAATGCCGAAGCGCGACTGTTTCCTTAAAAATTCCCTCAAAACACGGTAGTTGAAGTTCGTGAAATATACATGTATTTAACAAGACATCTGGCCTATCAGACGCGACACTTTTCAAAATACCTTTAAACAAAGAATTTGCTCTGGCGTGCCAAACAAAGGAGCCACCTGAAACAATGGTTATCTCGTAACGTAGATAACTATATGCCAAGGCTTTTGTTATCATTTTTCTAACCAAAAAAGGCAAGAAAGTTTTATTATTATAAAGACAAAATGAAACACTTCTTATTCGTTCACATAAATACACCATTAGAGTACACCATGACAAGTCACTATCGAAGTAAATTCCCAGATTTTTTACTGATTTCACATATTGAAGAGGTTCGCAACTACAATAGCTACGGGCGGAAGTATGCAGCGTTACAGTATCCCATAGTTCCACCTCGTTGAGCGGATCCCTAAAACAAACATGTTTTGTCTTCGAAGCTTTCACTTTGATTAGGTTAGAGTAAAACCAGTCCATTGTGGAAATAAGGTATCTTCGAAGCTTTTGAACGGCAACGTGACAATCCGCGTCAGATGACATGAAAACCATCTCGTCTGCATATTGGTATATTTTGCATTCAGAGATAGTACTAGGAAGGTCAGTTACATAAAGTTAAACAACAAAGGCGACAAAACTGATCCTTGCGGCACCCCGGCAGTCAGAAAAGTTCTATTACTTTTGCGATTTTGAAAAGCTGCAACTTGGGACCGTACTGAAAGGTACACTTTTAAAAGTGGAAAGCCAAATTTGTATAGTTTAGAGCAAAGTATTTCGTGATTTATGCTATCGAAAGCTTTTGACACATCTAGGAACACTTCACAGGTGTACATATTATTATCAAAACCTGCGTGTAAGCAATCGGTAAAAGTTTCTAATAAAGCTTGACTTTCCCGTTCAGCAACGAAACCGTACTAGTCATTGGATAATGGATCGAACCGTTCTGAAAAACCGCTCATTACCTTTAACAAGTGTTTTTCTAGTAATTGCGTAATTCTTATATAAAAATGGTCAATACACGACGAAACCAATTTGTCGCCCAACAATTCTTACCGAGTTGGGGCCTGTAATATACTTTCGATACCGTAAGTCGCCATTAAATTAAGGTAATGGCATTCACTATGGCGTGAGGATTTTATGGTATTTATATTACATTACAAGTATTATATATATTACATATATATTTTATATTATATTACAAGTCACCTACTAAACATAACTGACTTGTCGGGCTAAGTTCCGATAGCGGTTTATCATGTTCTTCAAAAGACAAGTTCGCGTTACGTGACGGCGGACGATGGATCGAAATTAGGACGACAGAGAAATCTTGCCATCTTATCTGGAGACTTATGCACTCAGCATGCGTCATTGTTATTGTTCTCTGACTTGCGAACCAAATGTTTTTGACATAAACGCATATACCAGACGCTCTTGTGAATGCGAATTGGTCATGACCATGAATTGACAAAAGGGTTGTCCTTTCCTCATTAATATTAACTTCAGTTAGAATGAAAGCATCCATGATCGTGCCCAAGTCACGAACTATTACCATAAACTGAGCCCAGTATTTTCTAATACTTCTGATATTGACGTGAAACATACTAAATGAAACATCTGAAGGTTTTTTTAATTTATATTTAAGCAACAAACACTTTAGCAATTGAAAACAATCCATGGAAGCACTTATACAATATTGTTAAATCTGCAACTCGGTTAATCCGCAACAGTGACGACCCCTCATTTTTCTTTTCGAAGATCTTTCCGTTCTTAAACCCACGTGAACTTGTATTGTTTTATCTTTGCCCTCTCCCTGACCATCCAGAATAATTCTAGGTTTTGCTTTGTAAGATTGTCGTTAAAGAAAATTATTGGGACAGTGGCAGCCTGGATAAGCTGACGCAGCTTGTAACTCGTTCTAAGCCAGCAATGTTTTAGTTCCTTCGTGCTGAATTTAATCAGTACTATTGGTATCGTGCCTGGTTTAGCAGGAAGGCGATGCAACACGAGAATGTCTTTAGCATCAGGGTTTGGCAACTCCAGTTTAGCTAACAAGTCGCTCATTCGTTGACTGAAATTTTCGTCAGGTAAAATCGGGAACCCGTGAATTTCCAAGTTTGGGAGACGACTGCACTGATTCCGTTATTGATTTTGTCTCGCATAAACTGAACAGTCTCTGCTTGGCGATTCACGGCTTCCCGCACTTCATCGTGTTAGTCTTCAAGCTCCCTCAGCTTGCTTTCATTTTTCGTCACGCCATCCAATACAGAGTCTTATTTGACGGCTAACCCATCCACTTTGGTTTTCATTTCCTGCATGTTAGCTTCTAGTTACTCTACTGTAGGTTTAAAAGCCAACAGTTCGCCGACCTTAGCAGGCAATGACAGGAGGGTGTCCACGCTTGTCTTCATTGCCAAGAGAGCATCCATTTGTTCCCCAAAAGACTCAAGCTGAGCGCAGACTGCTGTTTGACCAACCAGTGCCGTGTTCGGCGAAAAAGTGGCTCCACTTTGCGAACCACTTCTGTTCTCATGCGTGCGACAGGTCTTACGACGCCATTTTTCTCGCTTTGCTTGTCCCATGCTTTCAAAGGAGGCTTTCGTAACTCCCGAACAACACTGGGCCAAGTGATACCCATTTCGGCACTCTGAGCAATCCCCGGCAATCTCTGCGTGACATGCTATACAGTCAGTCCCCCGAGACATAGTATAAGCACAAGACTTAAGTCGGTAGCAGAAAGAAAACTTACATCTAATCAAATTTCAAACGAACTCTCAACTGGCTAAAAAATACGAGAGAGTGGGAAAGTGGAACTTGTCGACAGCGATTTCGCCACCGACTGCTACGATGGCTCCGACGCAGCTGTTTTTTAAGCTCTCTGGGTGGCGCGGCGAGCATGAACCTGGTGATGTTACCTGCGCTGCGACGGCCAGGGGGGCGTGACGGGAATCAACAATATGTCTATACGCTGACACTATTGAACATCGTCACGATAGAAAAAAACATGGTCACCAGGAATGCAGCGGTGTCACCACGAAGTATCTGGTGAAAGAATGCAAGGGAGTGACGTTTTAAAAAGAATACGACGTTTTTTAATTAACGGCAAGGAAACAAAGCTGGGAGTACCAATTGAATTGTAACAATCCCTAATAGCGACAGAAAAACTAAACGCAATTATACACTAATGTGAAATTTGACAGATCTGAAAAATTACGACGTGTGCACGAAGACAGCCATTTGTACTTCGATTTATTGTTTCAGCCGCGCTGTGTTGAAAATAAACTTTTTTTTTTTTTTTAGGTATCGTACCGTGAGGGTTGTTCGGGCGCTTACTTCTTATTGTAAGGGAATCGGCGTTCTGAATTCCTTTGGTCGTCTCGTAGTTGCGGGTTTTGCTGGTTTGGGACTTTTCAACTGGTGCACGAAGACCCTGGAGTCGTGGGTGTCAACCTTCGTGAAGACACCTGAGGCCTCAAAGGTGACTGCCTGACGATCAATGGCTGTGAGGCTGCTGTCGGTTCTTGCCAATTGGGAGACAGGGAAGAACCAGAGGAAATGACCCTGGATTGCTTTCTCGAACCAGACGGCAAACCAACCTCTGACGGTTATTGTGGCAGTCCAAGGGAAGTCCTGCAAAATGAGTCGGGGCGGCTGTTAGGCTAGGAATAGTGTTTTGTGTTTTCGCTTTAAGCATATAAATTCCAAAGAGAAAACACAAGGTCGGTTCTTGTAAATCCAGTAAAAATAATCTAAATTAAAGTTAATGTAAGAACAAACTGATGTTCCACCTGATATGGAAGGTAACTCGCGTCCTCTAGGAGACTGGCGGACATTGGGAAAATCCACCTTGTGGAGGTTGGAAGCCAATTTAATATTACGTAAATCTTCTCCACTTTGGGGACTTCCCCTAAGTATGGTCCATGTAAATTGAGCAGAGGTTTAAACATGTGTTGGTGCATCTAAGAATGACAAATCCTAAGGAACAAGTTTGTTCGTAGTTTGGAGCAAGTAGGGTTATTTTTGTATTGTGCTTAATGAAATATTTAGGTAAGAATTATTAATCAACTTTTCAAATATTCTAGTTAGAGAAAAATTAAGTTATCATAAGGAAGTTGTACAGCGTCCTTAGAAACATTTAATTCAGTGGAATATTTTATCGAAGAACCTCGTAAACAAGTAATTTTCCCGCGGTTAAAAAAAAACGCGAATCGCGAGAAAACATTGCTGCGGCCGAAACGCTGATTATCGCTGAAATGCGTAAGCTTTTCGCGCAGCGGTTATATCAGACAAATTACGGTAAATGCAGCCTCTCGGCATTTTTCTGCGGGGCGAACATTCCCGAAACCCCTCTTCTACCTGGCGCAGGTAGATCAGGTCACTTAGCGCGTGCATGAAGGACGTGCGCGCGATGCGCGCAAAAACGACAAAGCCATTTGGTCGTTGTGCATACATATTGTGCATACAGGGGTGACGACATCCTGCGCTTACGGCCCGGTGACATGGTAAGAAGACTGCGCCTCGAGAACGGCGTGGCAGGCCGAAGAACGAAACCGCAGCCTGTGTGCGTCCACAGGTCCCCAAAGCCAGCGTCAGGAGCTTCCGAGGGCGTGCAAAACGCGCATCTGCACGCCGGCCACAATACGTAACAACCCAGCAACTGTGGTGCTTAGGGGGACAGCGAGGCTAGGGCCGGCGGCGGCCCATTAACAAACCGCGAGCACGAGACTTGGGTCGACGGCGGGGCGCCGCGAGGATGCGTGTACAGGTGACCCAAGGTGGGTTAGTATTTTGTAATGAGCCAGCCGCACACCGTCGCCGAGAAGCGACGCGGACGGGGGGCTCGGGGTGGGTTGACAAGCACCCAAGTGATGCACCACAGTGATGCACCCCAGTGATGCACCCCAGTGATGCACCCCAGTCATGCATTCGCCTTCCCTCGCTGCTGTTGAAAAAAGGTCCTGAGAGACGATCTTCGCCCCCCCCCCCCAGTTCGACTGACACAGGTGAACGCCCTGGAGCGTCGTCGCCAGGTGGCTCCGGTCAGCCGTGCCCGGAAGCAAGGCGATAGGCGCCTTGGTGTCGCGAACGTGGCCTCCAACGAGGAATTATCAAGTTGACCGACACCAGTGTCAGCACGGGTCGTAATTACCATCTGACCCCTCATCGTCCCGAAAGCCTTGGCGCGCTCCAGGACAAAGGAGGAAGCTTTGCGGCCTCTCCCCAGATTCGAGCATTTATGGGATTATCCCTTAACGCATGAAAACCAAGACGCCTGGAATTCGGGATCTATGCATCCATCTAGACTTCGATGGCATCATTGTCCGCCGCGACTGACCGGCGACATTGTGACCAAGGACGTCTGGCCCTCTGGTGTGCATGACGCGAGTGGTTGTGTCGGAGGAGGGAGGGGGGCGTGCCTGGACATTACAAAAAAAGGCCCCATCGCTTTGGCCGAGGCCTTGACCATGGGGATTCCCTGTTAGGGGTATGGGAAAATGTGACGTTATAAAAGTAGCAGCAGGCGGCTGCTAGCGTGTGTTCTCGAATGTGTTCTCGAATGTTTTCTTGAGTGTTCTCAAGTTGATGTTGAACCAGTCAGTATGTACATAAACAAAGCTAAACGAGACACCCCTTCCGCTTCCTGGTCCTTCCCGATTCCTGCGTCCTCATGAGGTCCTGCCCTGGCTCGGCTCCGTACCGCACACCAAGTGGCCGGACCAGCGCGCGGTCGTAACATTGTGCGGCTCCGAAATTGGCGAAAAGGTAGGTACGTCGCCGGCGATCTTCGGTTGCTAGGCGTTACGTGGGGCTGTGACGCCATCCCGTGGGAACGTCGCGAAATTTGAATGCGTGTCCTCCAGCCAGTCCAAGGTCAGCGCACGTACCAGGGCAGTAATGCTAACGCATTAAAACATGCCTTCCGAAGTAACGCTTTCGGTCACGGTGTGCTTACCGCAATGTCCGATATCAAATTAGGATGGCGAGCTGTTGGTTCGTCCTTCCAAATGATTCGAGCGCTGCTAATTCCTTTCCTCTGTACAAGCATGTAGTTTACACTGAAGTGACATATACCTCGGAGGATGCCGCGTCCGGCATCCTCCGGACGTCTACTTTCTCAGCTCCCACGCGAGCAGGAGAGAATACAAATGCTACAGAGCACTCATAGGCACCCAACGTATGGCGGAGGCTTTGCAGTTGAGTGCTCAATATTTACGACACATAATCGTTGCAGCATTACTTGGCGTCAGGTATTTCGTGCCACATTGTCAAGCCTAGCAGAGCTTCCACAGTGCAGCAGCCATGCGCTGATGCGAGATCACTTGGATTCCTCCCGCATGCGCAACCAGCTTTGAAAGAATTCGAACACTGCGGAAGCTACCCTGGCCTTGACAATGCAGCACAAAATAAATGACGTGAGGTATAGTAATAGACCTATTGCTAAATTACACAAGCATGAACATGAATGCTGGGAATGTAGGTTAACGAGCCGCACGCATTCTCCTTCCCCGTATAAAATGTTTAAAGTAAATAACCAAAAAAAAAAACTTTACGAATGCGAGAGCAAGATTGTATATTTTAGGTTTTTGCATTAACCCAGCCACTGCCGCTGCAATCCCCGGCACTTGCGCATCACATGTACTTCACTCGTAGCATACTCCTTGATACTTGGATAATTTAGAAAAACGTATAAGGTGGCAAGATTTGTAAACGTCTTTCATTTTTTTTCGGTGTGTGTTTCTTTGCAAGTCATCTATATTCTTGATATTCCAAACAGGCACACAGCAACATCTATACTTTACTAAAATTTAATTAAAACCTTTGATCGTATTTTGCATTTTCTTTCCTCCATCAAACGAACGCATGCATATCACAACACATTTTACCCAACACGGCGCTGTATCTTAGAGCGGCGCATTTTTGTTTCCTGGATTTTGAGATTCTTTATAAATGTATCCCTCTTCCTCCTAGAATTACATTAAATTCGGGGGGCGCCCATGACAAAATGCTTCATGAGGAGGAGGGGGAGAGGAGGCCCCAGCAAAATGGAAGACTTTGGGGGGGGGGGGGGGGGGGGGGAGGCGAGGGGGGGAGGGGGGGGCGGGCCCCATGCCCCCTCCCCTCCGTGACACGTACCTGCTTGTCGCTTTTCGGTCATGCTTAAAAATCGTAAAGATTGCATCGCGAAGCATTTGCGTAGTGACATTCAACATAGTTACGCCAATGGTAATTATTCTTAAAATAGTTAGGGTGAGCTTCAGATTCCACCTTTCTTATATTCCCGTTTATTTAAATGTAAATGAAAAGGGATCATGGCACCGACACCATAAAAACGTCACGATCATATTTTAGTTAAACTAACTTATCTTCACTGTTTTTTTTTTTAATGCTAAGTCATATAAAATATAGCCTGTGTGATGATACTCCATATTGGTGAGTACTTTAAAGCTGCAAAATATTCTGGCGAGTGGCAATGACACATGTAAAAGTCATCAAATTACCGTTTTGCAGCACGCTGAATGCTACTCGTTTCATCGCTTAACGTTTCACTTACCATCTGAGTGTTGGTGACGTACCAGGTGACTTGCACTGTGCTTTTCGGTGGCACGGCAACCTTTTCGTCGATCTTCAGAGTTTCGGTTTTGGTCTCGGTCTTAGTTGTCGTGCCGCTGAACATGTAATCGAAGCTGAATTCGCCACCTGCACTAAGAACGGCAGGTATTCCGACAGAACCGCCGGTCTTGTAGTTCAGCTTAAATCCCCTCACGAACTTGGAGGTGGTAGACACAGTGTTCTGGTAGGTCTGCGATACAGTGTGTGTTACATCCGCCTTCTCTTGTTGGTTTGTATACGTGGCGGTATAGACCTGTGTGGGCCGCTTTTGTTCCCCGGTGGGTTCTCCAAACTGAAAGTTGGAAGCCCTCACGGACAACTTGTACCTGGAACAAAACACGTACAAGGCATACGGTTGAAACGGCACATCTTTTCTATAATCACTGACCAGATTAGAACGTCGGGAAGAAACTTTATTTTTCCTCCCTACAATGTGCACTTCGCACCATACAGCGCTTCGGCGTCGGGTGCACCTAAAGCGCGCTTGCTGCCATTTCAAGGCGGAAGGCATGAAATTGGTGCTAGAATACCAGGTGTTCGAAAGACATGCTCCACCATTTTTTCTTTATCCGTGACTATAGTAACAAACAAGGCAAGTACGGCCACGCGTCTCGTTCGAACGCCCGACCAGAAGCACGCGCTTCATGCTGTCCGCCATCTCTTGCCCGCCGCTCTAATCTTGTCATTGACTACGATATAATTTTTGACGGCTCATCAAGATATTCATTTCCAAGCTTTATTTCTGATAGATATGTACACTAGAGATTTTCATAGAAAAAAAGCCGCTGAGACTATACATGACTATATGACTGAAACCCGTTGCAAATCAGCAGCCTAGGAAAGGACATCTCGGAATAAGTTTATAAAAATCATATAACAAAGAACAGAAACAGAACGAGAGAGCATTCACTACACTAGTTAAAATGTGCGCGCGAATTAGTCATTGTGGGAGTGTTCCGCACAGAAAAAAATATGAATAAATTATTTAAATGAAAAGCGACGGCTAGAGTGATATCAACAATCTTCAGTTACGTCGTCCTTCGAAACCACAATTTAGGAAACATGATTTGATGAGATAATCCGTCAACTTCATCGGGCATTGCAAGCATTGTAAGCGTTGAGCTTGCGCTGCTTTCCGCGAGTCGGTCCAGGAATTCCCTAAGGATTCATCCCTCCGGCCCAATGTTCGGGTCGAGCAGCGCCCGAATATCGTCCTCCACAGCTGCGACGTGGAATGCTAGATACCCACAGTAGCGTGTATTCAGCCTTGTACATTAAAGGCCCTTTGGCCAAGGGATTGTCCCAGGTGTTCTCTGATGTCTGCTGAAGAGCAGCTTGTATCCAAGCGTGTAAAGAAGGCCGCCCTGGCTCGTCGCACGGATGCCGATGCGGCACTAATGTCTCCCTACATTGAGTTTCTTTTGAGAATGTTAGTCGCTGCGGGAGGGACCCGAAAGAACGAAGAACAGGGCCGCGACTGGCGCTGTCTTCCGTCAAGCTAAGCTGAACCGCTGAGTTACTGCGGAGAGGTTGACCGGTGTTTTCCTCGTTTCCCACATCATCACGCGTGCTGTGGGTTACCAGGACGCCGGCCTCCCCGGCTTGTGCTGCTGAATCGGCAAAGGGAGGAATAGACAAGAATAAATTTCAACCCGTCGAGCGGAAGGCTCTTCCCCTCAAGGTCAATCTGTCCTGGCTGGTGGTGGAATGCGAGTCACGGGACGTGAGCCCCTGAAAGCTCTTAGGTACTCAGGCACCGCCGAAGGCCCTTTCCCCTTGGGGAATGGGGTGTCCTGTCCTCCTCCTCGCAGGAAGCAGTCGTATAATGGCGACTGCAGCCGTATTGTCGGAAGGTGCCCGTCCTCAACCTATAGCATGACCCATTGACTCTCGGAGCTATATTCTTCGGATCACTTTGAAGACAAGCATTCCCTCACAGCCACCATCTAATGCGTCAGGAAAGAGGTGCCATTTAAGGTGTCGGCCAATAGTTCCCAGAGAACAGCCACCAAAGCCGCGGAGTCCATGTCAAACCGGTCCGGAGAGGGTGAGTCGTTCTGAACGTCAGGCCCAACTTCGGCCGAGCTAGGGCTATCTGTGCGCTCGTCGGGAATGCAGTCGTTGCAACAAATGAGCTTACCCCAGACATCATACTTCCGACGTCTCTTTCTGCTTTCTGGCAGACTGACACCCTTCATGTGAGTGCGCTTGGCGCACTCTGCATCAAAAACAATTTTGTTTCCCATGAAATCGCTAGAAACATCTGCTGCATGTGTCCTCACTGGATTCTATCTTATAATAATAATAATAGTGATAGTAATATTCATTATTTTTATTTTGACGAGGCCACGAACCTGTCATGAACTTGTCTGGTACAAAGAAACAACACAGGGGCATTTACACATGTAATATAATATATTATCAAGATTACGACAAGATGTTGGTACATAAAATAATTCAAGGTGAGGACACTCACGTTTATTAAATTACACATAGATAGCTACAATAAGAAACATATTTGCGAATATAAGCCAACGGGGTATTATGCTCAGAGAAGTAAGGATGGCACCGTATTCACTGTCTTAAAGATTAGCTAGGAATGCACATACAAGAAACAAAAAGCGTTATGTGGAAAATGATTTTGGAGCCACGGATAATAAACTCTGCCTGCCTGAGGGTATGCTTCGCTGGCGCAGAGTACACGGAACGTTTGATTTCGGAGATCAGTGACATGCGATGAAACCGAGTATATCGTACCGTCTGTACACACCACGCTCGCGCAGCACACTTTGAGTCCTCCACATGTCGTAGAACGATACTTTGGTATTGAATAGAGCTGCTAAGTTGTTTGCGTAGGTCTTTACGGCTTCCTCCAGGTTAAACACAAACTGTGACGGCTCTGCGGAAAAAAGAAAAGCCTCAAATTCAGACTTGTTTACCTTCTCTGAGAAAAATGGGGCATCATAGTTAGCAATATAGCAAGATACCCTTTTCAAAACCCTTCAAGCAACGTTGTTGGTTGACATTTTGTTGGGCATGAGGCGTTGCGATTAGATGCGGCCGAGTCCTTGAAGAACGTCGACTCAGCCTTCTTGTTAAATTCCTGCTCCAAGTGTGTCCCCTTGCAATAAAAGGCTATAATGATTGGCGAAGGAACAGCTGGGAGGCAGGGTTAAAAAATATCCAGAATACTTTTTCTTATTCGGATAATAATAATGACAACAATGAAAGGACTTATCAGTCTTCAACATCGTGCCCCCCTCTCTCTCCTCCCCCGCGTTCATCGCGCATATGTACCAACGCTTCACTAACGCGTCGGTGCCGCGGAAGAAAAAACCTGGCTGGTGTCTCCGAAGCGATGGATCAACCGGCGATTCCGACTCTTCCCCTTTAGGGAACTTGATTCTGCCGGGAACCACTTTTATTGGTCCGAAAGAAATAAAATCGCTCGGCGCCAGATTGTTTAAGTATGACAGATGCGGAATGCACTCAAAACGTTGACATGCTCTTGTTGGCCAGCGAGAAAATTATTACATCTTTCGACACCGTAAATATTCTTATTTATAACGCACGCCAACTGAAATACTAAAATTAATGCCGCTTATTTTATTTTGGCTTATGTTTAAAAAAAACACTATTACAAACTTGGCTTTTTAAGCAAGTTTTTGTATAAAGGCATTCTTTTTATACAGGGTACGTACATGACGACTTCTGCACTTTTGATAAAAGAAATAAGGTTCTACTATTTCAAGTGTTCATGCTTTGCGGCTGAACGTTTTCTAAACAGTGAAGTCAGGATTATGCAATATTTTGGCGGCAAATAATAAAGGTAATCATCCTCGATTGTCATCATACTTCAGTCGATGACTTTGGGAAATCAGTAATTCTATAAGCATGATGCATTTTTCTGTTTTCAAATAAAACTATTTTTCTCGGATTTATGTGGCAGTCGATTGCCGTTAGAGGTATCTGTTTCAACAACTAGTTGTACCCGAGCACCGCATACCCAAGTGACGCTGCTCCGTCGAATCAACGCCCAAGCACCTTAAGGCACAACACAAAAAAGTACGTGACATTTTTTTTCTTGAGTGACCTGGCTGATAGTGCATATGAAATCTCAATATTGCGGCGCTCTTGGTCCATAAGATGGTGGAGCGGCAAAGTCAGGAATATTTTTCCAGAAGGAGCCCTATTAAAGATTCGTTTATGTGGCTGACCAGGATTTCTGAAATGTTTGACGTACTCTCTAAAAATGTTTAGGTGTATGAGGTGTTCGTCGAAGTTTTCAGGGGGGCCCGACGTACCCCTCAAGAATTCCTAAACGGTGTAAGAGACTCGTCACAGTTTATTAAGAGGCCTGTGGGATCTGTCCCAATATGTTCCGCAAAATCACAGCACCCATCATTATCCTTTTAACGGGTATATGGGAGAGATCACGTGACCCTTCACGATATATGCGTCGGGGAAGCCGCTTTACCATACTTTACCGAGCGCCCACAGCGAGTCTCGGAAATTGAGGAGACGTATCTTGTGACCTTGGCTAACGCGGCCGCATAGCTGTGTTAGTGTGTTGTATGTACATGCTTTACGTGTGGAACAAGGAGTGCTCAAGGACGCCAACTGCTCGCTCACGAGAGACTGAGTGCGTGGGGAAAATGAGAGGGGAACGGTTCTTCGGTCGTTTGAAGATAACCTGTTTTTGGTCAGTCGAAACACAGCCTTCGTCAGAAGCTACTCGCCCGGTTTTTGTTTCTCCGACAACCAGAATAAACTAAATGCAGAACAACGATCAGACGCTCTGTCTCGGCTTCCCGTCCCATGCGTGGTAGCTGGGTGTGTGGATTAATGAGGTATCTCAGTGGCATGTTTCTTTCGCCTCTTCGTCCGTCTGGCTTCAGAAACATCCGGCGAGGAAATAAGACGCACGAGACGCCTCCGTGAAGGCACCACGGGACGACACCGTGACTGTGCTCCGGAGTCCTCAACTACGGCGGATGTTCGCTGCACGTTTCTGGTTTTCGCTAATCGTACTACTGACACTGTGTATGTGGGCTTGCGGAGCACCTCCTCGGTTTTATGAGTTTGACAAACGTACATCTCAGGAATTTACCCAGCGGCATTGAGAGTACCTTGAAGGATACTTTTTTTGCGACAAAAAACTCGGTTGTCCATATTTGGTGTAATTGCTTTTGTCTACTGCTGCTTGCGCGCTAGTGTGAGCAATCGTTTTGTTCCTATAGTCTGTTTTAGTTACAACATGCATGCAAAACTCAATGTCTGAAATAAATTTCCAATAACTTGTTAAACTGCATTTTTGGTTTATGGTTCGCAGTCACTTGGGCGTCTAAAGGGTCGAAGGGTTGAGGGAGCCTGAAAGGCTGAAGGGTCGGAAGGGTTGAAGTGTTTTGAACGGCTGAAGGAGTTTAAGGGGCTGAAGGACTGTAGTGTTTAATAGGGTGCAGAGGTTTGAAGTGCTGATAGGGTCCAATAACATATCCGGGCTGAAGTGGTATTTTCCAAATGGAGGTGAAGCTGAGATGTCTGGGAGGTCCAGGACTGTGGGTGTGGACGGTAGGTGGAGCGTAATGTATGCCTATATAAAAGAGTCGACTCGTTTTAGGGGGATGGAGTAAAAGTTCCGCCCCCTCACTGCTTGGCTACGCCACTGGGCTATTGTACTTGGTTGAATGTCATTGTTCTATTTTTTAGGGTAGCACCAGAGCCCTTCCATACGCTACTGATCACGAAATTTCTCCGTAACACTATGGACGAGCCAACAAACGAGGTCGTCCCGCCCAAGGACGTCCTCCTAAGCGTACTAATAGATGCCGGTTTAGTGCACCCAGAAGCAGACAAGGTGCCCGTCGAGCTCATCGACCTCATGCGGGACACGGGACCAAAAAGATCACCTAGGACAGCAGCTTGGACAACAACACAAGCAACAGCGACGACAGCACCGAGGGCACAGACCATACTATCGACGACGAGGACGACACCAACCGGGTGAACGCCCGCACTAACAGCGCCTTCGCAGCACCTCAAGAGGCAGGCAGCGAAGACGGGACCATCCTGCTATAAACGCTAGGAGCAAAAAAGGCGCTGAAAAAGGATGGAATTAGGACCCCAGCCGGAGTGGAATCTCCACCAGCCGCGACACTGGCAGGAGTAAAACAGCCGGCAGCCACGCCCAATAAAAAAAAGGTAACAGAGATCTGACCCCCCCCCCCCTTCCCTCCCTAGAAGAGCTTCCACCGGGTAGATTTACCGTCCTGCTCTCCTCAACCGGGGCAGTACGCCTCACAATCCAAAACAGAGACTCCCTCGCAAAGGGCTTGCGGCGACCCACAAGAAGCAAGGCAGCTGCCGCACGTTTCAACCCGAAGAGAAACGTGATGGCGGTCGACACAACCAGCGCGGCCATGACGCACAGGCTGCCGACAGCTGACAGCATGGCCGGACTCCCGATCTGCGGCTCCATGACGACTCTCAAGCAGTGAGTATTTGAGTGACCAGAAATTTCCCCCCGAGGACTCCACAGAGAAGCTGCGCAGTGGCCTCGAGTGTGCGGCACCCGTCGAGCGCATGCGCAGTTTCGGCGGTGGACGCTACGCTGAGATCTTCTTCGGGGGCCTCCGCCTGAAACGGTGGAGATCTACGAAATCATCTTCGTGGTGAATGAGCGTCACGCCAGACCCGCGCAGTGCTGGGGTTGCGGCCGATTTGGACATGTCCAGTCCGCCTCCGCTTAGCCCACGGCCTGCCCAACGTGCCGCGGAGGGCATCAACGTGTAAGTGCTCCTTCAAACTGACCCCCATCTGCCCCAACTGCGTGTGCAGACACAGAGCCTTCGACAAAGGCTTCAGCCTCTACCAAAAACACACCGGAACAATCAACCGTAGATTGTTCATCACTCGCCTCCGCTCTTTGTGCATGTGCAGGTACCGGCAGGAGCGTGATCACGTGGTTTGGCGGATACGGATTAGCCGTTGCCAATCCCGCAATGCCTGCTTGCTGACCTAGTTTCGCGTGTGGTGCTGCCAACGGGTGCGGCCTTCGGGGCTGCTGTGGCTACCGCTTCGGTGGTAAATGGTATCTCGTCCGCGACAGCGTATTCGAAGTGTACCAAGGCTACTGGTGTTCTGAAAGTCCTATGCTTATGTCGGCAACGAGTGATTTCTTAAAAGAAGCCCAAGAAATTTTTGTGATGTGTTGAATGTTCCGTTCGGAAAAGGACAGCTTGTTCAACATCGTGTTGAATCTTCACGGGCAACTTCTTTCTCATTTTAATGTTTGAGAGGTTATTTCTTCAGTGCCCGTGTCGACATATATCTCGGATTACATCTTTCAAGTACGGTATTTTCATCGTAAGTACCCTGCAGCCTACTTCTTGGCGGCAATCGACCTTTCTTCTGCGGATACTCTTCCGAATTTCGTCTCGAATTAGGCACTGTATATCTCCTGTCAGCCGGGAGAATAATTTCCTCTAAATTCTACCGGCAGTCACCTGCCATCAGCTGGCTGAAATAGTTTGACAACTGCAGGTAGAATACTGACTTTCTTATTTTCTCTGGGTTTTCTGCAAATACGTTTCATGGACAGTTTTTCGTAGATACACGTTTAATGGACACAAGTTTCGTCGACACTAATGTTTCATCGACACTTGCTTCACGGATTGCACGCTGTGAGGGAATTTCGTCGAGCGTGTATCCCCGAGGCACGTGCTCACCAACCTAGCCAACTCGCACACGCCGGTTCGTGGTGACAGTTTGCAGGCAACTCAATACAAAAAAATATATATATATTTTGAGCTGTTTAGAAAACACCGCGTGTCGATGAAACGATCTGTCGATGAGACGCCGTTCCATGAACTGATCTGACCTCCAGTTAGTGGCGACTGC